TTTTAAAGGTCCCTTCCAACCCCAAAACCATTCTATGACTTCTGTGTCATATTTTGGTCAGGTTTAGGAAGATTTTCAAGAGGAAGATGTCTCATTTTTAACTTCTAATAATCATGCAGGCATGTTTTTAGGATTTACAGATATAATCTGTAAGTATTTTTTCAACTTTGTGATTTTCAACAATAAGTTCTCTATAAAGAGGTAGAAATAAAAAATTACTAAGAATTTGGTTTTGGAAAGCACTATAATTTGTCCTAATGTAAAATCTTAAGGCATCAATCTTACACCTGCATAGTGAAAGATGATAAGTGTCAGGGAAACTTCAGAACTTAATGCACTTATCTAAGTTCCTGCTATTGTCTGCCTTTGCTTCAGATCCTGGAAGGGCATGAATGTTTAAACTGGAGCTTCTTATTGTTACGCTATGTTTCCTTTAGAGGCAGTGAACCAAATTAAAAGTGCATTGCTTTTGACAGAGGATACTGCAGCTCTACCCCCTACCGATTCACCCCCTTCCATAAGTATAGTTCCTTTGCTTCTGTTGTTCTGGCTGCTCTTCAGGCCCTCTGTGAGCTGATTTAACTCATTGTAATGGCAGAAAAACAACAGAAAAAAATTAGTTTGTAATTGATCTCTGGAGTTTGTCTGTTTCCAACCCCTTTCTCAAAGGTCTATTTAGATCAGGTTGATCAGGGCCTCATTCAGTTGAGTTTTGAATGCTACCAAGGACACAGATCTTACAACCTCTCCAGGCAACCTGTTCTAGTATTTGAAAATCCTCATGTTTTAAAAGTGAGGAGGGGGGGATATAGAAAAAATAAAGCCCTCTGGATGTAATTGCGATTTCCTATGTTTCCTTGTCTGACTCTTGTTCTATTACTTTATGCCTCTGAGAAGAGTCTAGCTTAGTTTTATCTGTATCTTCCAGTTGGGTAGATTCAGACAGCAGTAAGATATCTTCTAAAGTATTCTTTTCCAGGCTGAGCAAACCCAGTTCTCTCGCTCTTTCCTGATGTATTGTGTTCCAGTGTCCTGATCATCTTGGTGGCCCTCCACTGGACTTGCTCCATTATGTCCATGTGTCTTTTGTCCCGGGGAGCCAAAAACTGGACACAGTACTCTGGATGTGGCTGGTGTGGCGTATAGAAACACTTCCCAGGACCTGCTGGCAGCACTCCTACTGTTACTTCTAAAAATATCCCAACAAAAGAGGATGAAAATTTTTTTGTCATATTAGTGAGTTAAGTTAGGTCATGGGTCTGTAAAGCGCTAGAGTTGGCACAAGAAGGGAGGATGTTTGTGTGTCCTGGTGTACAAAACTTCTTACAGTGATGGTTAGTTCAGCTGAGTTAAGTGGCTGCCTTGGTTTCGGGTTTTTTTGGTGCCTTTTTTTTTTGTTTGGTTTTGGGGGGGTTTTTTGTTTTGTTGCTTTGGGGGTTTTTTTGGTTTTGTTTTTTTGTGGAAGTAATATGGTTTTGCATTCAGAGAATGTAGTGCAGCCTGACTGTGTGTCTGTGTCATGCCAAGCCTGTGTCTCAAATTCTTATTTGCTACCAGGATTCTTTTAAGCTGTACTCCAAGTGATCTTACAGTCAGGATAAATACATCTGTCTTACCTGGCATTGTTACAAGTCTTCCTTTGTATTGTAATAATACAGTAATTAATAATAATTAGTACATACTACCAGAAGTTAAACTTGCGCTTGTAACAGACATGCAAACATTTTTTTTGTTGTTGTGTTTTTTTTTCTCTCGTGTTGGTTATCAGTAACTAATGAAATAAAATATTGGTAGTTAATCTTGATATGATTATCTGTGCTGATTAAAAGTAACTTGACCATTTACTGTTGGCATTCCAAGCGTTCTTGATGCAAAGAGCTACTGCACTGTGATTTATTCCCCTAAGAAAAGCCTAGTTTCAAAGCATTATATCTTGAAATTAAGATGGAAGGAAAACTTTTACAACCTATAATAACAACTTGCAGCTTCAATGAGAGTTGGATGGATAAGGGGAAAAAAAATTATCTACTACTACTGCCCTCCTTGCATCAAACACAACAAAGTAGTACTCACAACTTTGTGTGGAATATAATCTGTAAATCACTGAGCGATAACTTAATAACATTTATTTTGGGAAATGCTTAGCATGGACAGTATTTGTCACAGTCTTGAACTTTGGAAGAAAGGAATCCAGGCTAGACTTTTTTTTTTTTTTTTTTGGTGTAATTGTTAGAATTTCTTTTTTTCCAGCAGAGGCCTGAAGTCTCACAAAAAAGCCCTGCTGTAGTCAAATATTTTTAATATAATACAACATTTGAAAAATCTTTCTGAATCAAATATTTTCTAAAAATGTCTTAAATTATGCTGTAATATTTGTCTTTTCTACAGCACAGCTTCCCTCTGGAATATGCATTGAAGGTGCATGGGGGGATATAAAGCCACCAACTGAAGTCAGAATTGAAGTAGTTTCTTAGTCAACAACTATTTTGATTTGAAGATAAAATTTTAGATAATTGTTGCACAGGATACTACTTACATGGTATTCCCCATAGGTTGACTCTTAATGATTTAAAAAGCTTTAAGCTTTAACTCTAATTTATGCAATTCTTTAGATGATTCTTAATCTTCATTAGCTTTGAGACATGGAGTGCTTGTAATAGTTCATGAAGCTGTTCAAATAGATACAATTTGTTCATTAATTTCATTGATGAAAGCTTTTAGAAAGCAAAGGAGTTGATATACTGGTATTCGGGACATATTTATGCTGTTGCGTGATATGTATTTAAGCAGATTTCACTGTAGAAAGTTTTCTCTTTTCTGGCAGAGCTTTTATCTCAGTTATCAGGTGTGAGACGTTCTGCAGGGCAGCTCAATTCTTCTGGCCCTTCTGCTTCTCAGTTACAGCAGCTGCAGATGCAACTGCAGTTGGAGCGACAGCATGCCCAGGCAGCAAGACAACTGGAGACTGCACGCAATGCAACTAGACGCACTAACACAAGCAGTATTCCTACCACTCTTACACAATCTATAGCAGCAACCAATACATCTAACACAGAAAACAATCAGCAGACTATACAGAATTCCCAGTTTCTTCTTACAAGGTAACTTGTTCTGTGGTTTTAACTCTTCTGCCTTTTCTGTTTTCCTTGGTCCTTTTTATAGACATAGTTCAGTGAAACTACTTCCAGATCCCTAATGAAGTTTTTAGTTGAACTACTATGCTTTTGTTTGCATTTGTAACATCTCCTTTTCAACCCTGCTGTGTGTTTCTTCCTAGCCAATCGTATTACTTGCTGTTTCTCAGTATGAAGAGAAACATAAGGGATATTACTTTGGTAAACTGTGCTTGTTTACTACTATACTATAAAACAAGAGCCTTTACAATAATATGTTTGAAAATTTTATGCTGATAACATGAGGGAACAAAACTTAAAAGGTAGCTTTATTTAATAGCAAATTAATCTTTAATGAGGGCTAAAGGTTGAATAGAGGTTTATATATAAAGTATTTTGGATGAAAAAAGCAAATAAGAAATGTGCTATTAATAAGTAGAATATGTATGTTTCACAAAGCATACTTAGATCCTAGAATAGTTCAGTTGGAAGGGACCTACAATGATCATCTAGTCCATTCTGCCATAGAAGAGATGTCCACTCTCATTCCAGATCTTTTAGGAGGTTTAGAATATTGATTTTTTGGATTTGTGTGTGTGTTTCAATTACATGTTGAGAAAGAGCACAGACATTTAAACAGCTTCTGTCTCTAGAAAGCTAGGTTGGGACAAGTTATTGCTGTGTCATACTGATTTTTATCAAAACTTGTGATAATATCTCAATCCAAAACTTTTTGAAAACAATAACTTTAATGAAAATATCTGCAAATGTCAGTCACTTATCTTGTGAGCCAGGATAGAACTGGTGCAAGCAATTTCCTTGCTTCTGTTAGGTGATGGTGCATGATGTACTGTGCTTTGGGAATCTCTGGGCATATAGTAATGTATTTTGTATCATGCTTGCATTTAGAAGTTGTCCTGGGGACAAAATGAGCACTTAAGTTATGACTAGAGAATTTTAACACTCCTTAAAACAAAACCCCTCTGAAGGGAAAGAAACTTCAGAAATAGCCTTTTTTTTTCCTTCAGTCTTAGTATCTGCTTCTATGAATATTTTGAAGCATCTAGGAACAAGTTTGTTAAATGTCTGTATTCTTGCATCAGAAGTGCAGATTGTCAGATCTGTACATGTCAAAAGTGCAGCATTACCTAGATTGTTTCTCAAAGGAATGGCTTTCAGATGTTATTCAGCATGTGTCAGTCCAGCTGTTTAGGCAATTAGTGAAAGCCCAGTTTGTTGTTGATACTACTAAGCCTGTCTTCTCTTTCTGTGATGTTATGCAGGTTGAATGATCCTAAGATGTCAGAAGCAGAGCATCAATCAAAGGAAAGTGAACGGGCAGACCGCAGCTTGTTTGTTCAAGAGGTTCTACTGTCCACTTTGATGGGGGAAGAAAGTTCTTCCTCAGATAAGGATGAATGGGGAGAGATTGCTGATTTTGGTGCTATGGGCTGTGTAGATATTATGCCTCTTGATGTTGCTTTAGAAAACCTAAATTTAAAAGAGAATAATAAAGGAAATGATCCTCCTCTTTGATGGCATCCCACTTTGCAGACAATGTCCTCTGTGCTGTATTTGCCAATGAAAGTGGACAACAGCTATCTTGGAATTGTTTTGGTGATTGTAATTTCAGGTCTGTCACTCTTGTTACATTGTGTACATTCAAAGGAAGAGAAAAAAATATATATGATAATCATTTTCACTTAACCAATTTTTACTTTTAGCAGGTAAATATAGGTTGCAGTGCAGAGAAAAAAGCTCTGCATCCTGTAGCTTGACGTGCAAAAAGCTCTCCTAATACTCCACATTGAAACTGAAGAGGAAAAAATGAAAAATCTCTAATGAAGCTGCTGTGTGTATTTATAAATATTAATGAATAAAAATTGCTTGGATGGTTTACCTTAACTACTGCATGATATTTTTTTTTTCAGTGTGCATGAGTTTTAGTGACCTTGTCATTTAAAAAATGTAAGTGCAAGGAGTAAAACTATAAAACCCCAAAGCTTTCCTATTATTCAAAGTTGATGTGACAAAAAGAAATTAATGCTCACTAGCAGTTTGTGCCTGTGAAGTGGCCTTTGAGTAACACGACCAATGACCTTTTTATGTGTTCTCCTTGCATATTAATGCAAATTCTGCAGTGGGCTATATTTTGCTTCCAGAGTGTGACGTTTTGCTATATTGTGACCACTATGTTGCCCTGTTAGACATCATATCCACATGGAACTGAACTTTGTATTCATCTGTAGGAGACAAAAAACAAGGGCCACTACTGGAATCTACCACAAAGGGCTTCTGTGTGCCCTAAAACCAAATTTTGCTCACTTTTCTTTAAAGTTTTCCTTTTGATGTTAAATATACTTTATTTAGGTGTAAATGATTCATATATTCACTGTTGGGGAGGGGTTAACCTGGATTATGTTGTCTTAGTTCTAAGCCTTCACAGTCCTTATTTTGAGTTATTTATGTATTTGCTTCATAGTTTGCAGAGACTCCTTAGTATCAAGAGAGCTTGAGGATTTGACTTCCCAGATATCTCCATACATTACAATTGAATTCTTAATGGTAACTTCCTATCAACCTTTATTTATTGGGGTTTTGGGTTATATTTCCAACAGTAAAAATAAAGCCTTTTAATTGAGTCATGCTACCTATTTGCCTATACTGTTAATCCTATAAGGGTTTTTTTGTATGGATTATTATAATAGCCCCAAAGCAAGGGATAGCAAAGCTTTAGTTATTTGGAATGTAAAGTTAGCTTAGAAAGATAAAAATGCACACAACTTCTGAAAATTAGACTTGAAAACCTGATGATGTTCCTAAGAGAACTGTGATATGCATGGTAATGTAAGATAACATCAACAAAAGAAGCTACCCCATAGCTTGACATTTGAGTTCCATTGTCATTTTCTCAATTCTCAAATGCTGATTGTTTCCATTTAGTACTGTATTAGCATTGTTTTAGTCTCTGCAATAGCAAATGTTTTAAGAGAAATTTTACTCTAGTCTTCTGGTTATCTCAGGAGTTACCCTCAATAAAGGTTCATTTTTAATTGATTGTTGAGGATGTTAAAAACAAATCAAACTGCAGTCTTCTCGGACATATATTCTGCACATTACAAAGAGACTCAAATCAATAAAGCATTTCAAGGGCTGTTGTTCAGTTGATTCTTTGGTAATGATGTAGTATCCAGATAGCTGTAGAAGAAATTCTAGAATTAAATTGTCCTTCACAACTGTATGCAAAGGCATTTCATGGCAAAACCCTGGGTGATTTACATAAACACTTCTAAAAGTGCATATTCTGTGTGGTGCACAAAGCAGTGATTAAGCATGTAAACATAGATTTTTATAATCTTATAGATTATACTCAGGGAGACTCACCTAACTCGACCTGCTGGCCATGCTTCTCTGGATAAACCCATTCATAAAGATATGGTTGGCCTTCTGGGCTACC